GGGGGGGGGTGGTAATCAGCCACTCTGGAATAAGGACAGAAGTGACTGGCGCTGAGGCTCGGAGTTTAAGGTCCGGAGCGGCTGGAGGGTGGGGTATTGGGAAGGCTGGGGGGCCGAGGGTCCCCCCTGACATGGAGATTCTTCCTGAGTGAGGATGATGGTGTTGGGGAAAGTGAGGTCACCATGGCCCCTGGGTGTCAGGGTGTCGAGGTGCGCAGGCCTGGGGTGGGCCTCACCCTCTGACCCGCCCCGCCTCGCCCCGCCGCAGAGACCGATGAGTGCCGGCTGAACCAGAACATCTGCGGGCACGGCGAGTGCATCCCGGGCCCCTCTGACTACTCCTGCCACTGCAACCCGGGCTACCGCTCGCATCCCCAGCACCGCTACTGCGTGGGTGAGCGGGGGCGGGGGCCCGGAGGGGGCGGGGCCCGGAGGGGGCGGGGCTCGGGGCGGGGCCCCGGCTCACGTGTCTCCACGCCGCCCTTGCAGACGTGAACGAGTGCGAGGCGGAGCCCTGCGGCCTGGGCCGCGGCAGCTGCCTGAACACCGCCGGCTCCTACAACTGCCACTGCAACCGCGGCTACCGGCTGCACGTGGGCGCCGGGGGGCGCTCGTGCGTGGGTGAGGGCCGCGCGAGCGTCCCGGGTGGGCAGGGGGGCTCTGCGCCCCCAGCCTTCTGGAACACCTTTGGGCGCGCCCCTTTCCTCTCCCGCAGACCTGAACGAGTGCGCCAAGCCCCACGTGTGCGGCGACGGCGGCTTCTGCATCAACTACCCCGGGCACTACAAATGCAGCTGCTATTACGGCTACCGGCTCAAAGCCTCGCGGCAACCCTTGTGCGAAGGTACGCGCCACGCCTGCGATCCCAGCCCCTCTGACGATCGGGGTTCAAAGCCAGCCCGGGCAAGAAAGGCAAAGCCGGAAGAAGAGCGGCGGGTTAAAGGGTGGAGCGCTAGCCTGGATGGAAGAAAAAAAAAGGGACATCGCCCCGGCCATTAAGTTCAAGTCTTACTCCTGGCACACACACACACACACAGTTCCTCAGTTGGCCCTCGACCTGGGGTGGGACCTACCCGCGCAGCCCTGACGCTGAGGTTGGGGGTCCGGGAAGCCCAAGGGGCTCAGTTTGCCCAGGACCCTGAGAGCCAGCAAGCGACAGTGCACCTCTTTCTCCCTCCTGTGCAGACGTCGACGAATGCCGGGACCCGAACTCCTGTCCCGATGGCAAATGCGAGAACAGTCCTGGGAGCTTCAAGTGCATTGCCTGTCAGCCGGGCTACCGCAGCCAGGGGGGCGGAGTCTGCCGCGGTGAGGGCGGAGCCTGGCTTCCCGGGGCGGGGCTCGTGATGGAGGGGCGGTGCCAGGTCCCCAGTGTTTAAGCGGAACTCTCTCTGCAGACATCAACGAGTGTGCAGAGAGCAGCCCTTGCACACCTGGATGGTGTGAGAACCTCCCGGGCTCCTTCCGTTGCACGTGCGCCCAGGGTTATGCGCCTGGGCCTGATGGTCACAGTTGCCTGGGTGAGTTCTACTATGCACACCGGGCCTCCCACCATCCACTCCCCGGCTGAAGTCAGGTTTCACCCTGTGAAACCAGTGGATGGAAGGGCACTAATTTATAGTAAAGGGGCTGCAAAGTGGCCTCCAAGGTCTTAGGAGGCCAGGTTTGCAGCTGCATTTGCAAAACATGTTACTTAAGTTTGAAGATGGAGGCACAGTTAGTAGTTCTCCCCCCCCCCCCAGTGTTTATTAGGCACCAAGAGGCAGGGTGGGATTCAGGGAAACAGAACTGCTGCTGGTCTGAATGGAGACTGGACATGCCAGCAGCACTTAGAGGAAGAAGCCCTGAGCTAAGTAATAGGAATTAGACAAGGATGAAAGAACAGCATGGCACACTGCAGCTGGTAGCTCATGCTCATAATCCTAGCTACTCAGAAGACTGAGATCTGAGACTCCAAGTAACAACCCAAAAGATGGAAGTGGATCTGTGACTCAAGTGGTAGATGGCCAACCTTGAGCAAAAAAGCTAAGTAAGCAAGCTGGGATGTAGCTCAGTGGCATAGCGCCTGCCTAGCAAGTGTAACATCCTGGGTTTGATCCACAGTTTATAAAAACAAACAAACAAAAAAAGCCAGGCGTTAGTGGCTCACGCCTGTAATCCTAGCTACTCAGGAGGCTGAGATCTGAGGATTGTGGTTCAAATCCAGACTGGGCAAGAAAGTCTGTGAAACTTATCTCTAATAAACCACCAGAAAACCAGAAGTGGCGCTGTAGCTCAAGTGGTAGAGCGCTTGCCTTGAGCTGAAGAGCTGAGGGACAGTGCTCAGACCCAGAGTTCAAGTTCCACCACTGACAAAAAAAAAAAAAAAAGATAAAAACACAAGGAAAAAAAGTAAGCAAGTCATGTCTTATGACTATAATACTAGTTATTGTTATGACTATAATACTAGTTACTCAGGAGATCTGAGGATTGCAGTTCAAAGCTAGCCTGGGGAGGAAAGTCTATCAGACTCATACCTCCAGTTAACTACCAAAAGGCTGAAAGTGGAGCTATGGCTCAATGTGGTTGAACACTAGCCTTGACTGCAAAAGCTCAGGGACGGTGCCCAGGCCGTGAGTTCAAGCTCCAGGACCAGCACACACACACACACACACACACACACACACACACACACACTGAAAATAAGCAAGAGCCTGAGGTCCTGAGTTCAAGCCCCAGTATTAAAGCATGCACAAAACAGCAGGTGGGCTGAATGAGAGCAGAGGCTTTGGGATGACTGCAAGATGTTGTCATATTAGGACAAATGACCTAGGCTTGTTGGCTACAAGTCAAGATGGAGGAGGCAAGTGATTGATGGGCCCTCCAGGTGTCCAATTTGGTGACAAGGTGGGTGGTGTTGCTCTGGTCCCTGAGGGCTGTCCAGCTGGGGATGCCAGTAGAGGATGGACTGAGTGGGTTGGGAGTCTTGAGCCAGACATCTCCATCTGGAACCATCCATGGGCTGGTGGATAGGGGGTGCTGAGGTGGGCCTGCTCCATCAAATGGGGGGTAGGTTAAGGGGAACATCTGGTGGAGCTTTTATGGGCACACATACAGGGGCAGGTGGGGAGAAGGACAATAAGTAGGGGGGAGGAGTGAGCGCGAAACCAGAGCAGGATATGGAGCGAGGCTGGGAGGGTTAGCTCTTGTCTGGTGGGGGTAGATGGCTCAGGGAGCGTCTGGCTTGGCCAGCAGGGTATGAGAGCCATGTGTGGGCACGGTGCTTCTTACCAGCCTTGCTGCCCTTACTCCGGTGCTTGGGTCCATGGGCAGAGGCCTTGGCCTGACCCTCTGACTCTCCCTGTGCTCCACAGATGTGGACGAGTGCGAAGCTGGGGACGTGTGTGACAATGGCATGTGTACCAACACGCCGGGCTCCTTTCAGTGTCAGTGCCCCTCTGGCTACCATCTGTCAAGGGACCGGAACCACTGCGAAGGTGAGGAGTCCTAGAGTTGGGGTACTGGCCTATCCTTCCATACCCTAGGATTCTTGCTACCCAGGTCTAGTCCCCATCCATATCCAAGATGTGGTGTGGGGGCGTGGGAACGGCCCAGGCTGGGGGGGGGTACTGGCGGCTGCATGTAGGGGGTCAGTCCAGATTCTCCACCTCCTTGGTCCTCTGCAGACATTGACGAGTGTGACTTCCCTGCGGCCTGCATTGGGGGTGACTGCATCAACATCAACGGCTCCTACAGATGCCTCTGCCCCCAGGGGTACCGGCTGGTGGGTGGCAGGAAGTGCCAAGGTATGAGGAGTTGGCAGGGCATGGTAATCCACTAGACACTGTGGCTCCTGCCTTCCCATCCCCCATCCACCCATGCTACACTCATCCATCCTGTCACTCACTTGGATGGCATGGCATGGGTAGCAATCACCGTGTTTCCATTGTAGCACAGTCACTATAAAACTTTTTTTTTTGGCCAGTTATGGGGCTTGAACTCAGGGCCTGGGCACTATCCCTAAGCCTCTTTGTGCTCAAGGCTAGCACTCTACCACTTGAGCCACAGCACCACTTTTCCTGCTTATGTGGTACTGAGGAATGGAACCCAGGGCTTCATGCATGCTGGGCAAGCACTCTACCACTAAGCCACATTCCCAGCTCCCCTGCCAAACTCTTTACTCATATATTAGTCTAGCCCACCAACCCTCTTAGTATATTCACTACCAACAAGAGATAATTGGCTAAGCATATATACCAAGTCAGGATGATCTTGAGTTTGAGGCCAGCCTGAGGTACATATAAAGACTGTCATATAACATCATCAACAACAAAACAAACAAAAAACAAGAGGTAACTCAACACCTACTATTTGCCCAGTCAGAGCAACAGGGCAGTTACGTGGGACTCCTAGTTGGAAGAGAGTAACATGTACACTGTTTCTCTGGGCTTAGGTACCCGGGAAAGTTTGGACTAGTAGTTAATGGGGTGATTACTAGAATTGGATCTTGAAAATAATAGGGATTATGCAAATAGAGAACTGGGTTGTATTTTGCCTCCAAAACATTATATACAAAGCACCGAGACCTGGAAGTACCTAGGTTTTTTTTTGGTGTCATTGTTTTTTTGTTGGTTTTGTCGTGGGGCTTGAACTTTGGGCCTGGGCGCTGTCCCTCACCTCTTCAGCTCAAGGCTAGCACTCTACCACTTGAGCTGCAGCGTCACTTCTGTTTATATGGTGCTGAGGAATCGAACTCAGGGCCTCATGCATGTGAGGCAAACACTCTACCACTGAGGCACCAGCCCTAGTTATTTTTTTACTTATTTATTTTTGCCAGTACTGGAGCTTGAATCCTGGGCCTGGGCACTGTCCTAGAGCTTTTGTGTTCAAGACTAGCACTCTACCACTTGAAGCCACAGCTCTATTTCTTGTTTTCTGTAGTTAATTGTAGATAAGAGTCTCATGAACTTTTCTGTCTGGTCTGGCTACCAACAGCTATTCTCAGATCTCAGCCTCCTGAGTAGCTAGGATTAACAGTGATGAGCCACCAGCACCTGGCTAATGAACACCCATGTGCTGAGCAAAGGATTTAGGACAGGGACTAGAGTGAAGATTGATGGGATTTGAGTAAAATGAAGTTTACCTATAATCCTAGCCACTGGGGAGACTGAAGGACCATCTAGACTTTGAGATCAGCCTGGGCTATATAGCAAGACTCTGTCTTAAAGTAGAACAAAACAGCGATGAGTCTGAAAGGCATTGGGAGGCCAAACTGAAGGTCAAGTGCCAAAGTCTTCTAGGGCTTCCTTACGTTGTCAGTGGGGGCCTTATGTTGGAGATTTACAAAGGCTGGCACCAGTGAATATCAGACATGGACACCTCCCCCCACTGTTGTGTTCTGTTATATAGGTTGAAATCAAAGTGGAAATTCAGGTTCCCAACTTGTGCCGGTGAGGCCTGGGGAAGAGGGAAGGGTCTCCTTAGAGCCACTTCTGCTTCTATTCTTGCTTCCCAAGACATAGATGAGTGCAGTCAGGACCCTGGCCTGTGCCTGCCCCACGGAGCCTGTGAGAACCTGCAGGGCTCCTACGTTTGTGTCTGCCAGGAGGGCTTCACACCCACCCAGGACCAGCATGGCTGTGAAGGTGAGTTCCCTCCTAGCTCTCCCCCAGACCACAAGATTCCCTGAGCTGCTGCTGAGGTTCAGAGCTAATGGCCTGATCCCACCCTCCTGAGTTCTGGGAACAGGAAGTAATCCCTTTTGCCTGGGGGGAATTGGGGGGCTAGCCCTCTGAGGACTCTCTGAAGGCTCTTGGCTCTGCCATGGCCATAAAGAGAGCCAGGGAAGGGGGGGGGAGAGGGCAGACTGCCCAAGGCCACCTGCTACAGGACTTAAGCTGCAATTTGCCCCCCTCAGAGGTGGAGCAACCCCACCATAAGAAGGAGTGTTACCTTAACTTCGATGATACCGTGTTCTGCGATAGCGTGTTGGCCACCAATGTCACCCAACAAGAGTGCTGCTGCTCGCTGGGCGCTGGCTGGGGAGACCACTGTGAAATCTACCCCTGTCCAGTTTACAGCTCAGGTCAGGAGCCAGGCAGGCCTCTTTTCAGAACCTGTGTGATCATCTGGAAACCAAATGGGAAAAATGGTCTCTCCTCCCCCCTCCTCCCCCTTCCCCTCCCCCTCGTCCCCGGGGTAGCTGGGAAGGGACGGGAGAGCTCCAACCTGTTTCTGGCCCTCAGCAGGCGCGAGCTGAGTCCTATTTTCTTCCCTACACATGGCCTCTCTTAACCCACAGCCGAATTTCATAGTCTATGTCCAGATGGAAAGGGCTACACGCAGGACAACAACATTGTCAACTATGGCATCCCGGCCCACCGTGGTAAGTCCGGCGCGGCTCTGCCCTCAGCCCCCAACCTCCATCCCGCCTGCAGATTGTCTTTGGCTCTCTGGTATAGTTGGCCTGGTGGCAACTGGAAAACCACGCCCACTCCGTGCTGGCCACGCCCACCAACCCTCTGGAGTGCGGCTGGAGCTGTGGGCGGGGCCTTGTGGGGTTGCAGCCTCCTTGTAGGCCCCGCCCTCCCGCGCACCTGCGCTCCCGCCCGCTGAGCTGCCGGGGCAGGCGAGGCCCGGGCGCCCACGGGGTTCGTCACCCCACAGATATTGACGAGTGCGTGTTGTTCGGGGCGGAGATCTGCAAGGAGGGCAAGTGCGTGAACACGCAGCCCGGCTACGAGTGCTACTGCAAGCAGGGCTTCTACTACGACGGGAACCTGCTGGAGTGCGTGGGTGAGCGGGGCGCCCCTCTTCGCCCCCCCCTTCGGCCCGAGCCCCGCAGCCGCTCCCC